CCCCCCCCCCTGGCGTCTGCCCCTCTCGCCACCCTTGCCATCCCACCCATGCCCCTTGCTAGCCGTTAGCTTCCCCTCCCACTCCGGCCCGTCCTCCCCCCTCTCCTCCGCAGCCCCCAATGCCTCCTCCCCAGGCAGACCCCGGCAGTGCCTGGACCACGGTGTCGTCGCGCCGCCGCAAAGGCACCACCACAACCACTACAACCACAACCAACACCACCACCACCACCACCTCATCCTCCTCCTCCTCCTCCTACCAACCACCCAACAAACAAGAAACTGGCGTTCCGGCCGCCGCCGCCCCCATCACCATGCCTCCCCCCGACGACCTCGAAGCCGCCGTGGACGAAATCTCGGCCACGTACACCCACATCCGCGACCGCTGGCTCGCCGGCCCCGCCTACGCCGCGCTCCGCAGCCTGATCCGGTCTGCGGCGCCGTCGCACGCGCCCGTCACGGCCGCCGTCTGCCTCGGAAACGGGCCCCTGCACGCCCCGGACTCCAACTGGGACCGCCGCCGCAGCGCCCACGTGCAGACGGCCGCGCTGCTGGCCCTGATCGACCTGCTCTCCGAGCCCGAGGAGGCGACGCCGCCCCCGCCCCAGCCCGCCCAAAAGATCCGCTGCGTCTTCCAGGAGCCCGAGTACACGCCCGCCGACGTGGCCTTCATCGAGCGCATGGGCCACGTCGTCGTCGAGGACCCGGCCGCCTTCGACATGGTGTCCGAGTCGGGCCTGCTCTGGGGCGTGCACATGTACCACGAGGTCTACAGCCGTGCCCTCGGCGGCGCCCAGCCCGCCATGTTTGTCGGCACAAAGTGGACCACGTGGGACGAGGTGCCCGACGACGACGGCACCATCAAGGACTCGCTCGCCAAGGTCGCCCGGATACACCAGACCTACGACATGCTCGAGTTCCCGCCCGACGAGGCCTCCTTCTCTTTTGGTGACACGTGCATCTACTGGAGAAAGGCGGCCACGGCCGCAACCCGCCGCTGATTCACGTTTTAAAAAAAACAACCTCTGAACGATACCCACGCTTGCCACGCTCATGAACGCTGTCTCTATTTTCACTTTAAGCTTGGCATTCTCCCTCTCCCTAATCTATTAATCCATGTGCCGAGGAGCGAGTGCAGCTGCAGCTGCAGTTGCCCTCTGCTCCCTGTCCAAGATGTAGTATTTTCACCTGGGTATTGAAAGACTGTCGAACTTTCAGGGGCTCCTACTGTCGAAAGCAAGGTTGGGCTTGGTCGTTTGTCGCCGCCATCTAGCAAGATTTCCAGCAAATAAGAACTGTCCTGGCAGCATCAGCCCAGAGCATGCGTCACGGCTTCTGCCCACTCCTTGACCGCCGCGTCGGCGCTTCTGTCTTTGGCTATGCGTGCCCAGCTCGCGCCACCCAGGTCCTTGACCACGGGCTTGAGGCCCTCCACCTTGGCCAGGGTGCCAAGCGCCACCAGAGCCCGGACCACCGTCGACGCATCGTTGTTGTTCTGGAGCACCTCGCCCAGGCAGTTGACGAGGAGCGAGAGCCCCTCGGTGGGGAGCTCCGTCTTGCCGCCCTTGGCCGCCTGGCTCCACGCTAGCACGGCGTAGTTGAGCGCCACCGAACTCAGGGCGATGGAGAGGTTTCGGTTGTTGGGACCGACCGGCCCCTTGAAAGGCTCGGCCTCGATGCCGAGGATGGCCTCCATAGTGGACACGACCCGCGCAAAGACGGCCACGGCGAGCTGGCGGCCCTGCTCCGTGGCGAATATGTTGGTGATGGCACGCATGGCCATGAATGCAGACGCCTCGTTGACCGGTGCCCCAGCCGGGGTCTCGAAAGCCCCCGTCAGCACGGCGTCGAGGAAGTTACCGTGTGCATTGTGGCTGTATGTTGCCGCCGCCTCCGACACGGCCAGGCAGCGGAGCAGATCCAGGCTGGGCAGCCGTGTGCTATACTGCCAGTTGACCGCCATCTTCATCACCAGCCCGATCTGCTGCGAAGAGACTTCAAACTCCGCTGGCTTCTTGGCCGCTGACGGAGAAACCTTGGTTGGTGCTGACGTCAGGGCCGCCTGAAGCTCTCTGGCCAAAGACTGCAAAGAAGACACCTCTGTGGGGTTCAGGGCAAACTCCTTGTCCCCAATTTTGACGAGGTCGGCATTCAAAGACAGGATCTTCTTGAGTAATGCTATAGTCGTTTGGTGGCATGTTAGATCACCGCAGTGGCAAGGGGAACCATGACCACTTACGCTCCGAGTTTAGTGTCGGGATCAGCACAAAGTCTGTGCTGGGTAGAACCTGTTTTGGCGCACTCGCGGTTGGCGGTGCCGAGCTCTGAGCACCGCCTGAAAAATCGGCATTCTCGAGCTTCTGGCCGCCAGATTCCCTGACAACGAACTGAGCCACCTGCTCCAAATAACTAATGGGTAGCTCGTTCTTTTCTAGAAACCTCCTGGCTGCGTCATACGGGTTCTCGTTGGCGTTGTATGGCAGAGATAGTGTGGGTTTGCCGTCTTCGATGTCGACCTGGAACACAAAGTCCCACTCCTTGCCGTCGTACTGCTTCTTCTTGTCGGAGCTCCCTGGGGAGTCGACGACGGCACCGTAGAGTTCCCATTTTTGTTGCGCTAAAAACGAGCGCTAGTCAGCAAACGGCCGCAACCATAAAGGCGGCATGGCATGACTTACCAACCGACCACATGTGGGCGTCAAGTCCGCCATCCGGGTTCTTGATCACCTGTATCTGGCCGTCCTTCTTGCCTACGTTGGTCGTGAGGAATTCTGGCCCGGGGAAGGCCTGGTTCTGGAGGTCGCCTGACATGGTCTCCTTGGGGATGGCCATGCCCCTCAGCGTCTCGTCAAACTGGCGCAGCGTGTCTGCGTCGGCGATGCGGTCAGCAGACCGGGTCCAGATGCGTATTATGTTGTCGCTGGCGCCCGACACGATGTCTCCCGTCTCCGGACAGACGTCAACGGCCCACACCGAGACGGCGGGATGCACCAGCGTCTGCACACACTCGGCCCCCTTCCACACCCTTACGGTCCTGTCTTCGCCGGCGCTGACAATCTCGCCCGAGGGCAGACAGGCCAGAGAGTAGACGAAGGACTCGTGACCGTGCAGCTCCGTGACCTGCTGACCCTGCGGGGTCCAGAGGCGGATGATAAAGTCGTTTCCGGCGCTAGCAAAGCGGGCGCCGCTAGGGTGGCCGGGTGGCAGGCGACATAAGGCGCGAACGGGCTCGGCAGTGAATATGGTCTTGGCAGGGGACTGCGGATGGTCCGGCTGGGCGCGGGCCAGACCGTAGGCGCGGATCATGTTGTCGGCGCATCCCGTTACTACCGAGGAGCCGTCAAGGGCCAGGACGGCCGTGACCGACTTGTCATGGCCGTCGAGCTCGGCGGCGAGGTCCCACTTTCCCACATGCCATATCTTGGCCTTGGTGTCCCAGCTGCCCGAGGCGATAAACTTACCGTCGGGCGAGACGTCGAGGCTGCACACGTTGTTCTCGTGGCCGGGCAGGAGGATGGGGAAGCCTTCGCCCTGCTCGTCGGCGGGCCGTGGCTGGTGGACGTAGATGATGGGGTCGAGACCGCTAGTGACGACCAGGCCGTCGGGATGGGCGGGCGAGGGCGGAACGATGGCGAGCGAGTTGACGTAGGAGCTGGATTGGGCGAGGGCTGCGCTCTCGAACACGGGCGGGCCCTCGGCGGGCGAGGACCGCTTCCACAGGCGCACTGAGTTGTCCCTCGAGGCCGAGACGATCACGTCGCTAGACTTGTAGCGGACGGATTTGACCTGGGGCTGTTAGGCGTGGTTATGGGCATGGGGATGATGGCTCAGAGGACACCCACATCGTTGGAGTGGCCCTGCAGCTGGGCCGAAAGCTTGAAGATGGACATGGCGCTCGGCTGCGCTGAATCCGAGCCGCCGCGGTTGAGAAGGTTGTTTGGTGGTGGCTGGAATTCAATGGCGGTTGAACCGACGATGATGAAAGGGCGGGGCACACACCTCAGGCAGGTGGTATGTGCCTGCTCCCTAATCGCTAGCAGCTCGCAAATACCCCACACTGCGCCGAGCTCCAGCCGTGCTGGGGTCGCTCTAGCCAGCAAGGTGGCACAGACGGGACATTAGACGGTGCAGTAAAGGCGGTAGGTACTCCCTATTCTGCTACAAGAGCCGCTGTGTTTCAGGTACCTTCCTTGCAGGGTCGCTTGAGCGGCAGGCACGCAGCGCGCACAGACCGCTTGGGCCTGCCCCGCCGTCCCCAAACGTCCAGACCCCAGACCGAAAATACGAAAGGCCTCCTTTTTTCCTTCTCCTTTCCACTGCCAGCCACGACTCTCCGACCGACACCGACAACGGGCTTCCTGGGACAGCGAGGCATTCCTTTTTGTTCTTCTTTTTTCTTCTTCTTCCTCTCTCTCTCTATTGCAATTCTCGACTTTCCCTGTATCTCGAACTACACTCCCTGGCTCGCACCTGTGTCCCATCCTGCGTTTGCGGACAGCGCAACAAAGAAAAACAAACCAAAAAAAACATCAAAAAATAACTGACGACCGCTACGACTTGACGAACTCGACGACATCATAATTCCATTCCTTAGGGAGGATTGGTTACGGCCTTTTGCACACCGGCCGTCTTTGGACTCCCGTTTGATCACAACTCTCTATAAGACTTGACCCATCGTCCATCTACGCAAACGACATCTACCCGCTTCACGCACACACAACACCAACTCGGTCCGAAACAGGGCTCCTAACAAGATGGCTGCCGAGGCCCCCCGCCAATACGTCCCGCTCACCTGCCACGGCCACTCGCGCCCTGTGCCTCACATTAACTTCTCCTCAACCTTTGAGCAGGAAAACTACTTTATGCTGTCGGCTTGCAAAGGTGCGTCTGTTGTGGCCTCGCTGCCCCGCCTCGGCCCAACTGTTGCGTCGGCTGACATTCTTTGCAGATGGCAACCCCATGTTGCGCCACGGCCAGACGGGCGACTGGATCGGCACCTTTATCGGCCACAAGGGCGCCGTCTGGCAGGCCAAGCTCAGCCCGGATATGAGCAATGCCGCTACCGCCTCGGCCGACTTTAGCTGGTAGGCCTGGTCCTCGATGCTCGACATTGCTTGCTCCTTGTTTGGTCTGGTTTCTGACATTCAGGGGCTTTCCCCTCACAGCAAGATCTGGAACTCGCACACGGGCGAGGTCCTCTTCACGCTCAAGCACGACCACATCGTCCGCGCCGTCGCCTACCCCCCAACCAACTCGGACATGGTGGCGACGGGCGGGTTTGAGAAGAAGCTTCGACTGTGGGACCTCCAGGACGCGTCGTCCAAGGAGGCCACCGAGGAGATGGAGCTGGACGCCTCGCGCGCCCACGAGATCGGCGAGGGCACGCACACGGACCCCATCAAGGCCATTGTCTGGACTATGGATACCAACATCATTGTCACGGCCTCGGGCAAGACGCTCCGCTGGTTCGACGTGCCGTCCAAGCAGATGGTCAAGTCGCTCACCCTCGACGCCGAGATCAAGTCGTGCGAGGCTGTCCAGCTCGATCCCGACTTCGCCGAGCCGACGGACATCAACGGCGGCCAGCCCGTGCTCGCCATTGCCGCAGGCAAGGCGGTGTACTTCTACGGCGGGCCGCAGATGATGGACGAGCTTAAGCAGTTCAAGCTGAACCACGGCGTGGCCAGTGTTGGCCTGGATCTCAAGCAGAGGAAGTTTGCCGTCGGCGAGGAGCCTGGAACTTGGGTCCGGGTCTACAGCTATGAGGACGGTTCTGAAATGGGTAAGTTGCTTCGTCCCCTGGCCCCAATCTTTTGCCATGTCCGGCTAGCTCACAGCGCAACGTCACAGACGTCCACAAGGGCCACCACGGACCGGTGTGGTCCATCTCCTTCTCGCCCGACGGCAAACTGTACGCCACGGCGTCCGAGGACGGCACCATCAAGCTGTGGAAGAACTGCCCGGGCTTTTACGGGCTCTGGCGGGGCGGGGCGGCAGCAGGCGAGAAGTCGTCGGATTAGAAATCGCGACGATCGCCCGAGGAGAGCAGGCCGCACGATCTGCTGGTCATGGCGGGCCGGGCGTCGACCCCGTCAGACACCAACTCGACTGGATCAGAGTCGTGGTCCATGGTTGACGGCGGCGAGCCCATCGAGCATACCACTGCCTTCCATGCCGTCAGGTTTCCGCAACAGACGCGCGTGCTCGACTTTGACCACTCGGCCCCAACCGAGACGTGTGGTCAGATGGCGGCTGCTATCTCGCGCCGCCACAACATCATGATGCCGTTCGGAGGCGACGGCTGTTGCGACATTCCCAGCCCCGCCGTCCCCAGTGACTCGGCCCGAGCGCAAGCGTGTTCTTCGGAGAGCGACAAGTCTAGCAGCGACTATGCCACTAGCGGCGCTCTTCTATCTCCTCTCGTCGCAAACGCCAGCTCCGGCGGCAACCGCCCCCGCAGCCACTCCAACCCGCCCCGTCCCGACTCAGAGAGCCCTGGCGCTGTCAGCAAACGTATGTTCCTGCAGGAGCTTGGCCGCCGCGGCGTGGCATTCAGCGAGCCTAATCCCAGCTTCTAATATTCATTGTATCATCCTTATCCCAAAACGACTCGCGAAGTTATACGACGGTGCCCCCTCCATGTTGACTGTATTAAGTAGTCCCTAGATGCGCGCCCGTTAACCCGAGTATCCCCCAAACACCAAGCCGGGGCGCGACTTGGACAAGATGTGTTTTGCGCAGGTTTGTATTCCATTTTTTGAGGTAGGATCGAATGATGCCTGGATCTGTCGGGCGTCAGCCATTGTTAGTCCTGACTTGGAGGAAGACGGTTTGAACTAGAAGAGGGTCGTGCCCGTGTAATCCAAGCAGCTTGATACGACTGCACACAGCGGTGGCTTAAGAAGAAGGAAAGATGGGCACAATATATTATGGCGGGCTGCGTCACCATCATGACATATCTGCGGTGCCTCTTCGGTGCCCGATGTCTTTGCCTCGAGGCATGTACTGCAGTAAAGCTGGTCACATTCTAGCATGCACGGCGTTGCCCATGGGAAGAAGCAAAAAAAAAAAAGCCTCTGAAGATATCTTACATGAAATCATTTTATGAGGATGAGTGGATGTTTCTTTCAGACAAAACGAAGCACTCGAATTGTCCGTGACGGCCTTTGTTTGCTGCGAGTGTATATTTCCTTCCTGTTCTTTTTCCTTATCCCAGGAAACTCTTCTCATCTTGTAACGACAATATGGCCTCCCCATCCCGGTTCCTCTTCCTCTCCTTGCGGTTCTTATTCTCTTATTCTCTTTTACGTATCGCAATCACGACCTCTTTCTTCCCACCTCCTTGCCTATCGAGACCTCTCAACAACCAACCTACTTTCCCTCCCCGCCCGACTGCCTACCAGCATTAATATCCTCTAACCTTGGGCTACGCCTCCCCCATCTCTTTAGCAATACCTCCAACACCACACCAAAACCCTCAATCTACTCCCACCTACACGGACAAGTCAACCCTTGAAACGCTCCACTAGCCGACCTTCGAGATGCATGCTCCGAGCTGCCTAGGAAGCCCACGTCAAGCAGTTGAGTCTTCTGATCTGCAACAACAGCCCCGCCTCGGGGGTAGCCATCGGCTGGGTAGGCTGTCAGAGACGTCGGGAGTGAATGGAGATTTGTGCCAAACTATCTGCTTGTGCAAATTTTGGGCAACTGGTTGTAATTGACACGACACACCAAGCCCCATTACATGGGCGTTATACCTCGCCGTCCAGCAAGCGGGCGTAAGGGGATTTCCTCAGCTCAGGTAGCGCCCATTTGACCATCCATTCGCAGCGGAGCAGCTCCGCCGCCGTCGGACGCTCCTCTGGCCTGTACGCCAGCATACGGCGCAGCATAGCCTTGAAGGCCAAAGTCTCCTGATCGCCGAGGATTTCTAGGCCCCCCGTTTGACGTCTCTCCTGAATGCACTCCACGAATTTGCCGTCGAAAGACGTTGCACACCATACCGCGTGCCCGCCTGGCCCTATCTCACCGTCTTCGGTAAAGTACTTTGACCGCGCCTCCCATTTATCCCACCACTCCAACGGCAGCTTCCCTAGGGCCAAAACCCACTGCCATGTGATAAGGTCGTCGTCAGGGTTCCATGCATCTTGGAACAGGCGCATGCCACCGAAGATTTCCCATATGTTGCCTGCAAGAGCCCATATGTCGGAGCTGGAGGAGAGGCACCGGTCCTTTTCGTAGAAAGCCTCGGGTGCGATGAAGCCGAGAGGAGGGCATGTTTTGTGCATGCTGTCTGGGGTCATGTGATATGACGAACCAAAGTCTGCCACCATAGCCTTAGTCTCGGATACAGAACAATCTTTCGGCAGCTTTCCAAGATAGGCCGAAAAGGTGATATGAGGCGGGATGCCGGGCCCCAGTGGCTTTTCGTCGTGTCTCACAGCGGGCTCCGTAGGAATTAGTGGGTATTTGGCGTAAAGCTCATCCACCGTAAGTTGGTCCAAATTGTTGGTTGCCGGGCATAGCAAAAGGTTCCCGAGGTGCAGATCTCCGTGGACGATTCCTCTGGAGTGGATGTAGTCGAGGGCTAGGACAAGCTGGGCAGCTAGAGAACGAGCAGTATCAATCGGGAACGGCGCCTCCTCGTCGAGTGCTTCTTGGATGCTGCACAAGGCTGGCGGGGTTGCGATGCATGGGTGACGTCCATTGGGGCCCTCAACCGTAAACCGGTCGAGAACCTTGGGTATCATGGACCGGCCCGGTGCGTTCTTCGAGGACGGGCGATTCAGGAAGTCGAGCATCTCGTACTCGTCAAAGGGGGAGTCCGCAGTACCAACTTTGATGGCGACGTAGGCTTGCGATGCCTCATTTCGACACAGCCAAGTAGTGGAGAAGCCCCCATAACCCAGCTTGTGTACAACTCGGTATCTTGATCCCAGGGTGTCCCCTATGAGGACTGGGTGGTAGCCACCAGGAGCATAACGATAGAGCTGTTCGGCGTAGGGGATGAAGTGGTACTCGGGCATGGGAGCCTTCTTAGGTTCGTGAAGAGCATCTCCTGTTGACATGCTTATCGGGCGCGCTCTAGAGAGGATCAGACCTTGAGGAGGCAGTAGTTGGTGGCGGAAAGATGAGAAACGGGAAAGCAATGATGGGCAACGAAAAAACGAACGGGATGCAGCGGAAAAGGCCATTTGCTAGAGTTGCGAAGCTCCCCGGCGGGACTTCATAGAGGATGTTATACTATATGAATCCGTTGGCCTTGCGGCTATGGGTGGAATGGATGCTTTTGTAATTTTCAGCATCGCCACGGCCGATGATCGCCCCGCCATGGTGGAGCTTGACGTTGCCGCAACCTTCGGAGTTCTGGCGCGTAGGGCCCACCCGCCGCGTTGCGGCAGCCACCCTGTAGTTTTCGAATGTTCCCTCAAAACACAATCATCTAACTACATCCATCCCATTCCAAACCCATACACATACACTCGGTACCATCTATCCCATGTCTACCATTAACATCGTCAAGTACTACTTTTACAAGGCCATTGTTCCCGCGAAGCCAGAGCTGGTTAGCCAGTACGTCGCTCTTGCGTACCAGACAGCGAAGGACCGGCATATCTACCCCAAGGCCATCCTCATCAGGTTTACCCAAGAACCCTATCTCCCCGAAAGCTCTTGTGCGAAAGCAAGCGGCCTTGGGAATATTTACTAACAAAAGCCCTCTGCTTAAATGTTAGGTCGCACCTCCACAGGTCGACGTACGTCAAAGGCCAACGCGTTTCTGACCCCAACGGACTCCACCTCACCGTCTCCTTCAAGGACGAAAATGGAGTAACCACCGAGACACACGTGAGCTCCCACGGATACGTCAAGGACAAGACCGACACTGTAATCAACAAAGCTGTGCACACAAACCCCAAAGCCGACACTACGCCAAGGGGGACACCGAAGCCGGGACAGGCTCGCAAGGTGGTGTGGCCAGACGATTCGGAACTGTTCCAGGAACCATAGATTAGGTATGGGCATATGGAATAGCTGGCCAGGGAATTTTCGGAAGTTATCATTGTATTAATCTTTAGCTAGGCCGGGCTGTTACGGCCACCAACGTAACCTTGGGAAAAAGGCCATTACTAAAGCATAAAGTGCTATAGTAAATAGTAAAGGTTTAAAGCTACCCCGCGAAACAGGTTACGTAATAATTAAATGCTATATTTGCTATAAACATAGCAAATATAACAAAATGCTATAAATAAATATAGCATACATAGCAAAATAAATAATACCAAAGTTTTAAAGTATAAAAAAAAATTATTTGTTTTAAATAATTTTTACCAAATGTACTGTTATTAATTAATTTAAATTAACTTTTAAATATTTTTTAAAGCAAGCATTTAAATTGCACTTAAATTATTTGTAAATCATTTTTAATTTATTAAATTACGTGCTATTATTTAGTGCTTTTATAATGCTTTACTTTAAAAGCAAAAGTTTAATTGTGTTACAACCAACAAACACCTGGCCGGGACAGGAAGCCAGGAAGGCGAGGGGTAAGCAAGCGCTTACCCCTTACCAAGGGGAGCTTAAATAAGCCGCCCTTAATTTATTAATGGGGTTACAAATTACTTAGGTAATTTGTAATCTATCGACAAAATTACAGGTTACCACTTTGGGGAAGGATGGAAGCAGCGTTAGGAACGGGCTATAAAAAGGAAAGGTTTTTTACTGTTTTAAGTAATTTTCGATTAAGGCTTTAGCATTAGTTAAACTTTAATTAGCTTTTAAGTAACCTTTAAAGCAAGCATTTAAACCGCACTTAAATTACTTTGTAAATCCCTTTAATTTGTTAAATTACGTATTATTGTTCGATATTTTTTTAGTGCTTTACCTTAAAAATAAAAGCTTAATTGTAACATTTTAATTAATTTTGTTTAGTACCCGAACCGGTACCGAACAATAACGATAGCAACCAAAATCGGCAAGTCCTTTACAAAAAAGAACGACGAACATTTTAGCTACGCAAGCAAAACTTACGATATAATAAAAGTAACAAAGGCTAAAACCGCGTTTATAACCATAACCGCAAACTTTACCCAATTTAAACAATAAATTAGCGTTTTGCAAACGGCGGTTCGAACTTACAAATTTTTTACCCTTAACCGGTACAACGGCAAAAAAGGCACCTTTAAAGCTTTTTTAACCAAATATCGAAAGTATTTCGCTTTTTACCAAATTTAATTTACGATTAAAAAATAAAAGGTTGTTTACGCAATTATTCGTTTTAAAAGCAAAATAAAAAAATGGTTCGAGCCCGTATAAACAAACTTTTTTAAAAGCTATAATAAAAGCAAAAAAAAAACCAAAATTATTTTTGCCAATTTTATTCGGTTCGAAAAAAAAATTACTAACGTATTTGGCCAAATTAACAAGCAACGAATTGTTAAAAGGGAAATATTTTAATTTCGATAAAAAGGCGCAACGTTAAAGTACGTTTCCGATTTTTAACGCTTTGCTAACAAATTCGATTAAACCAACCAAACCAAAATGGCCCATTTGTACAATGGGCTCCAAAACAACGTAAAAAACGAGGTTTTAAAGGTTAATTAATCCGAATTTTTCGCTAAATACGTTATTATCGTAATTAAAATTAGCAATAAATTATATAAGCGCCGTTTGGAAAAAAAAGGATAAAAAACCAAGCTTGTAATATAAAGCAACCAACCGTAACAACGGTTCGACCGCAACAAATTTATAATTTATGGTTGTTATTTTGGCCTTATGGATTTTAGCGCCGGCGCTACGCATTAAAAGCAAAAAAAGCGCAAATTCCAAAACCCCAAAAATAGCAAATGCTTTTAGTATAAATAATTTAAGCACATTAAAAAGGATTGCTTTTAAAAAAAAAAGCAAAAAAAAGTATTATGGGGCAATAAACTTAAAGTAGCAGTAATAACCAAAAAAAAAATAATAAGCCCGAAAAATAACGGCTATTTTAGCCCGACGTTTTTTTGGACTGTATGTATTAACAACCATTGCGTTGCCCATTATTCCAATAAAAATGCAATAAAGTGGTTTTCCCGCAAGCAATTAGCTATAGCTAAACGAAGGAATTTTATAGCAATTTGCAATAACAATCCAATTAATTTTAACAACGAAAGCGACCAGGTTTAAATCGATAAAATTTTTTAAAAAAACCCCGAATTACAAAACGAAATATTTTAAAAATAGCTTTTGCGTATTGCCGAATAAAAAGGAATATTAAATGCTTTTATTAAAAAAAAAACTTTAAAAACGAAATAACCCAATAAAGGCTTAGCCCGAAACTTTGGGTTAAACCCAATTCAATTCCCGATTTCGAGCCAAAAAATAGCAAAAAAGGAAATAAACTAACCATAAAAAATATTGTAAAAATCCTTTAAAACCCGGATTTTGCTATTTTTAAACCAATTAAAACGTAAATAACAAGCAAAAGTTTTTACAAACGGGTAACGTTTAAAAAAAGCGAATTCGAAAAAAAAAGCAACGAAAAAAATTTAAGCAACTTTTGCCGGTACGCTAAAAACGCCCGCATTTTACAAAAATATATACGAGCGGCGTACCAAAAACGATACCAACGAAAGTACAAATTAAAACGCAACCAAAGCGTTAATTTACAAAATTTTTAAACGCAAGCCAAACGTTAGCCAAAAAGGGAAAACGAACCGAACCGCAACCAATTTATTGTGGTTAAAACCGACGGTTTGGCTTATGCATGCGCAGCAATGCTAAATTAAATTAATTACAAAACGTTCCGTTAAAACGGGCTTGCTATGCAAAGGCAGGAAAAAGGTTTGCACCTAGCATGCCCGAAAGCCGTAATTAAGCAATTCCAAAAAGGCGAAAAAGCTTGGAATAAAGCTAAAACCCGACGGCGCTTTTAAAACGTTAATTTGCTAAAAAAAAAACGGCACTTTTTACGAAGCTACATTAATTAAGGACGATTTTGGGCGCTTTATTAATTGGTTTGGTAGCGATTACCCAATTACGTACCGAAAGTACACCCGGTTGCAAGCATATAACCAAAAATGGGCCGAAAAGCTACGAAATAGCACTAAAAAAAAAAATTACAATAGCTTTATGCTTAATTATTAAAAGCATTTATAGCTATTTTGGGAAAAATATTTCGCTACAAATTATGCAATATATTTGGTTTAAAAGCTTTGGAGCAATTTTTTCCTTTATCGATAAATTAACAAGCTTATTACCAAATTTAAATTAGCATAGCAATTACCCAAATGGTTTATTACCAAAAAGTACGAAAAGTTAGCAATGTTTCGATCCAACCTTTAATGGCTTATGCTTTGCATTGCTAGGATTTTAAAATAGCAAAAATGCAAAGAATTGGAATGCTAAATTTATACCATGCAAAAAGCCAAAATATAGCAAATAAAATATAAGCTTTTATATATACCAATACGGTATAACAAGGACGTAAAAAGCTTGTATAAACCTTTTAGCAACCCCAATAACCCAAAATATATAAGGGTACGCAAAAAATAGGAAATAAAACTATCCAAACTTTAAATAAAGCATTTCGAAATAAAAAACTAAGGAATTTACTTGTACCAAAGCCATAAAAAGGATAATTATTTACAATAAAAACCTTAGCAGTAATAATTAGCCCGAACGAATAACATTTTTATATATGGGTACGATAAGGCCTTTATCGCTTAAAAACTTTAATCGATTGCAATGCTTAAAGCAATTACGTATTGCTATAAGCAATATTACGATACGGTATTTTTGTACGCAAAAAAAACAAGCTATATTTTTTTACAATAATAAAAAAAAAGCCAATCGAATATAGCGGCGGATGGATTGATATTAAAACCGATTATTTTAGCTTTCGATACCGAAGTAAAATTTTTTAAATAACGCTGGACGCGTTAAAAATACGAAACGAAAATGTGGTTTTTGGGATTTCGTAATTACAAAAGTATAATCCAAAAATTAATTAAAAAAATAACAATTTTTAATAAAAATTTTTATTAGCAATTAAAAAAGCTTAACAATTACGGGCCGTAAACAATGCAAAAATAAAGCCAAAAAAAGGTATCCCAACGGAAATAAAGCAAAGCAGCAACTTTTAAACCCTATTACAAAAAACCATAACGACGTTTTACGATGGATTTAAATAAAGGCTATAATAATTAGCCAACGTATTTTCGAAATACTATAAGTATTGGAAGTTATTCCAAAAAAATTTAAAAACGGTGCTTTTAAAATACGGGCCGTTTAATTATAAAATTAAATTTAAACCAAATGCGCAATTTAAGTACCAAAAATTGTACCAATTTAACTTTAAGCAATAAAAAGGGTTAAAAAAGCAATTACGGGAAGATTTAAAAAAAGGGGTAATTAAACTTTCGATATTTCCAATAAAATACGGAATTTTGTTTGTGCTTAAAAAAAACGGAAAGGAACGAATATGCATCGATTACTAACTATTAAACGAAATTACAATAAAGGATCGATATTTTTTGCTTTTTATTAACGAATTACGCGATAAATTCGGCAAAGCCGAATATTTTACGGGTTTGGACCTTCGAAAAGCATATAAATTGTTTTGAATTAAAAAAGGATAAAAATGGATAATAACCTTTCGAATACGGTTTAGCGTATACGAATTGTTGGTTATAACCTTTAAACTTACTAACGCGCTAGCTACGTTTTAGCGGATAATCGATTACGTGCTTCGAAAGCATTTTAACATTTTTATTTTAGCGTACTTAAACAACATTTTAATATATTTAAAAACGCTGGAAAAGCATAAATAACAAATGCATTAGGTATTGCAAAAGTTGCAAAACGCAAAGCTTTTAATTAACCCGGATAAATGCATGTGGTACGTTTAGGAAATGGTTTTTTTCGGGTTCGTTATTACGCTAGGAAAAGTTAAAATAAACCTAGCCAAAGTATAAGAAATGGCTAATTAGCTAGCGTTTACCAACGTACGAAAGGTACGGGCGTTTTTAAGGTTTTTTAATTTTTATCGACGGTTTATGCAAAGGTTTAATGGCAGCGTTACGTTATTTACAAAATTTACCAAAAACAATATTTAATTCCATTGGGAAGCACGAAAATAAGCCGCTTTTAAATAGCTTAAAAGCGCTATTTTACGGGAACCAATATTGGTTATTCCAAACCTTAACAAATTATTCGAAGTCGAAATTAACGCGTCGAATTACGCAATCGGGGAATAATTAAATTAACAAAATAAAAAAAAAGGCTGCATTTTTGCGCTTTCTTTTTACAAAAATTTAAAAAATTTAAGTTAAATTATTAAATTTATAATAAAAAGCTTTTCGTTATTATTAAAGCTTTAAAAAAATGGAAAGTATATTTGTATAAAGCAAATTACCAAATAACGATATATACCGACCATAAAAATTTAGCACATTTTATTACAAGCCAAAACCTTAACAAGCGTTAAATTCGTTAAAACCAGTATTTCCAAAACTACGACCTTTAAATTTTGTACCGAAAAGGATTAAAAAATGGAAAAGCAAATGCTTTAAGCAAAAAAAGCAACCACGAAGTTGCTATTCCAAAAAAAACCAAAACGCTTTTGGCCCGTAAGCTAAAAAAAGCGTTAATTTTAGCTTAGCAAGCAATGGCTTCGATAACCAAAAAGTAAAATTGGCCTTTAAAAAGGATTTTGGAAATTTACGGGCTATTAGCCTATAGCTATTTAAGGGTTACCAAAACATGGAAAAAGCTCCGGCAGCATTACGGGTTTACCGAAACCAAAGCAGCAATGCTGGAAGCAATAAAAGATTGCTAAGTATGCGTTAAAAATAAGCCTAACAAGCATTTTTTTTATAAATTGCTTTAACCATTGCTAGCGCCCAAAAAAGCGTGGCAAAAAATTACTATGGATTTTGTTGTTAAGCTTTTTAAATCCAAAAAGCTTTTAACGGGAACACAATATAATAATATATTGGTAGTAATGGACAAATTTACAAAGTATACCTTGTATTTACTATATAAAAAAAGTAACAACGTATTTACTTTAGCTTACGCTTTTTTTTAACACGTAATAACAAATTACGAAATGCCGCAAAAATTAATTACGGACCAAAACAAATTATTTATAAGCAAATTTTGGAAAACGCTTACGGCGTTTTTCGGAGCAAAATACGCTTTATCGATAGCGTACCACCCCCAAACGGACGGATAAACGGAACGAACCAATAAAACGATAAAGCAATATTTGCGCTATTATATTATTTATAAGCAAAATAATTGGGTCCAATTGTTATTAATTACCTAATTCGCTTACAATAATTCGGTGCATAAAAGCATAAAAAAAACGTCGTTTTACGCTAATTATAAGTATACCTTTACGGCGTACAACAAGCCCAAAGCCGAATTTAAAGCTTTAGCAACGGAAATCCAAATAACGAAGCTTACCAAACTATACCAAAATTTCCAAAATAAATTGGAAAACTTGCGTTACCGAATAGCAAAATAAACCAACAAAAAAAGGATCGAAAAACCGACTTTTAAAGAAAAGGATAACGTTTACCTTTTACGCGCTAACATTAAAATAAAAAGGCCAAACGATAAGCTGGATAGGAAAAGATAAGGACCCTTTCGGGTTACCCGTATTATTTTTCCGGTTAATTATAAATTTTAGCTATTACCAACCATGCAAATTTACCCAATTTTTTACGTTTTTTTGCTAAAACTAGCGCTTCCGGGCTTTAAAAGCACCAAATTAATAAAAATTAACCCTAACTAAAAGTAAAAGGTTAAGGCCATCCTTAACAAACGAACGCATTACCGCAAAAAGCAGTACTTTATTAAATGGAAAGGATAAGGGAATAAGCACAATACGTAAAAAAATACAACAAACTTTGGGAATTGCCAAAAGGCTTTGCAAAAGTATCGTTTAAAAAAAAGTTAGCAATAGCTTTAAAGCTTGCAAAACGCTTTAAATTTGGAGGAATTTAATAAGCAAAGGAAAAAAGCCCTTACAACATATTCAAAGGATAAGCTAGCAAGCTTAAACAAAAAAAATGCCGAAGCTTTTCCCTTATATGCATAAAACGAAAATTCCGATAAAGGTTGCACCGGGAGTTAAACCCAAAACCTCCCGCTACAAAAACAAATGCATTACTATTGCGCCATACAATTTATGGAAATTGTTAAGGAAGTTACAACTTACTAAATTAAAAAAGCGCAAGCAATTTAAAATCGATACCAAACCTTAAGCTTTCGGAATTAACAAAAAAAAAAAAAGAATTAAATCGACGACCCCGGCTGGGGAAGCCGATATCGTCGATTTAACCAAGTCGTACCGGGAGTTAAACTTAAGACTTTCCGCTACAAAAGCGAACGCGTTACCATTGCGCTATACGACCAAAAGGAATTGTTAAGGAAATTACAACTTACCCGATTAAAAAAAGGCCAACGGGTTAAAATTAGGATTAACCCTTAACGTTGCTTAATTAAAAAATATAAAAGGAAAGCCAAATTGGAAAAAGGAAAAGGGGTTAGCCGTTACCAAAGCAGCCTTTTCCCGTTCCGCCCGTTCCATTTATTCCAATTTTTCCACGGTTTTAATACCCCGAAATAACGCCCGCAATTGCTTTTTAAGCCAAAAGTTTTTTTGTTTGCGAAAACGCTTAAAACGGTTGTTTAAAACATAACGCTTTGCTTTAATAGCCCGTATTTTAGCTTTAATTTTTTGGTATTAAAAATTAATAAAACGCAATTGTTTAAGTAAAAAATTTAAAATGTTATAGCCAAAACGGTTGCAAGCAAAATATTTTACGCAACGAAAAGAATTTTGCGGAAAAACAAAACAAGTATTTTTTTTAAAAACGTTTCGATAAAAAAAGCAAAAATTTATATTAATAGCCAATGCAAAAACCAAAGCAAAAAAGTTTTTGCGCCGAAAGGTTAAGCGCGCAAAGCGTTTTTGTACTTAACCCGACATTGTTAAAAAAAGGGAACGGTTAAACAATAAAAAAAATAATACTTACGATTAACAATGGGAGGAATGGACGTAAGCAGGCCAAAAGGGCTTGGCCGGTGGAAAGGGGACTTAATGTTACAACCAACAAATACCCGGCCGGAACAAGAAGCTAAGAAAGCGAAAGGTAAGCAAACGCTTACCCTTTACCAAAAGAAGCTTAAGTAAGCCGCCTTTAATTTATTAATGGGGTTACAAATTACTTAAGTAATTTGTAATTTATCGACAAAATTACAAGTTACCACTTTGGGGAAGGATAAAAGTAACGCTAGGAACGGGCTATAAAAAGGAAAGGTTTTTTACTGTTTTAGGTAATTTTCGATTAAGGCTTCGGCATTAGTTAAACTTTAGTTAGCTTTTAAGTAACCCTTGGAGCAAGCATTTAAACCGCACCCAGGTTATTTTGTAAATCCCTTTAATTTGTTAAGTTACGTGCTATTGTTCGATACTCCTTTAGTGCTTTACCTTAGGAGCAGAGGCTTAATTGTAACAAATTGTAACATTTACTTAAACATTTTGTTAATAAAAACTACTAATTATTAATAAAAACAGCAAAAGAAAAATAGTAATACGTTGTTACGATAATAAAAGGGAATAAAAAACAGTAATGCAAGTAATAAGTAAGTAAAGTTATAAAGAGCCCAAAAAGGGCTTTTCGGGGCGGCCGCGGGCGCACGAAATATTTCGTGCAAGCGGCTTTACTTTTACTGCCTTTATTGGGCGGGGCAAGCTTTAAAGCCTTACTTTAATAAAAAGCTTTTCTTTATTTAATTTATTTGCTTTACGGGGTTTAACGCTCATAACATACGTAATTAAAAAAAGTTTAATTATTAAAAAGAAAATTTCATGTTATAATTATTAACGTAACTTTAAAAAAAAGCTATAATTACGGTACAAAAAGTTATAATAAAAATTAAAAGCTATCCCGCGTATAAATTACGTAACAATTTGTTACGGGCTAAAAGCCTGTATAGTAGCTCCGGTTATGCCGGAGCCACGCCGTTACAACTAGGCAGCGATTTCGCGAAAAGTTTAGCTACACCCGCAACGCTACATTGTAACGCCCCAGCAACCCACCAGGAAACTGGGTTTTTTTTCAAGGGATCCGGCTAAAAGCCTTTTTTCTTTTTCTTACTTTTTTAATAATATAAATTCCTTTTAGTTGCATTTAAGCGTAAGCTTTTTATACAATTTAATATTATAATTGCTATAAATATAACAAATATAACGAAATGCTATAAATATTATAAATATAATACATATAGTAAAGCTAAATAGCTTTAAATTTTAAAGTATAAAAAAAAGGGGTTTTATTGTTTTAAATGGTTTTTAATAAATGCACCGGCATTAATTAATTTAAATTAGCTTATAAGCATTTTTTTAAAGCAAGCATTTAAACCGTACTTAAATTATTTATAAATTCCTTTAGTTTGTTAAATTACGTGTTATTGTTTAGTACTTTTTTAATGCTTTACCTTAAAAGCAAAAACTTAATTATAACACGAGCGTAAAGTTTGCTTTTGTTACATTCTTCGCTTTCGTTTAAATTTTTTTTTGTAACCAACTTACCGCTGCTTTATAGCTACAAAAGTGTAATATGGGGTTGCCAGCTTTGCTTGGTTAAGCGACAGTAATGTAAAAAGCGCCGAAAGCAGCCGAAAAAGCCGCGGAGCTTGCAGTAGCAAATTAGCGCATAACGTAGTCTTCCTTAAAGCAATTATCCAGTTTACCCCACGTTATACTACAACTTAATTTTAAATATCGTAGCTTCCATGCTTGCAACGACGGCCTCGTCGATTTTAACTCGGCAAGGATTCGCGGGTAGCGTTGGGGAAGAAGAGTTTACCACGGCGCGCGTTTGCTATTTGGGTAGTTAAACAAGCGGACGTTTTTTAACTTATCCGTTACGCAAAGAGCGAACACCCGGTCGGGGTATTCCCCGGCGTTGGCAGCGGTTAAAGCGATAAAATCAGCTTTTTTACCGCTTCTTTTAAGCGAAAAGTCGACCGCAAAAGTAAAGGACTTGTTAACCGAAGTGTTGTTTTTGTCGTTAAGCTTTCCCGGCGGTTTAGCTTTGCATTTAAGCCAATGCGCGTTCCAAAGCATTCCAACAAGCCCTTTACCGTCGAGTTTGTATTTGTTAATGTAAGGTATTGGAAGGATTAACAAGGTACGGTTAAAAAAAGGTGCAGGGTGGGTGTAGGGTAGGTGCAGGGTGGGTGCAGGGTAGGTGCAGGGTGGGTGCAAGGTAAGTTGGTTTTTAACTTTTAACGCGTACCGTAATGGAAAAAAGTGCGGGGTAAGCAGCGTATGCTGGTGTACTTATAAACGGTTTAAAGTAAGTATTGGGTAAGCGAGCATTTAATATAATAAAAGTTATATTATGCTTAATACGTACGATAAATAAAAAGTGCAGGGTAAGTAACCGTTTTAATAATATTAAAAACGGTACAAAGTAAGTATAAAGTAAGTAAGGAATGCGGTAAAAGCATAAAGTACAAGGTAGCTCGAAGGCAATTAGCAAAGTTAAGCGTAAAGCAAAAAGCAAAATCGGGTAGCCAAAACTGAAAAGGTACAAACGGTACAGGGTAAGGGTGGGTGCTTTAGCAGTAAACAATCGTGGTAGTGGTGGGAAGGAAAAAGCATATGAAGGAAACGGTAATTTGCCGTGTCGGTAAGCAAGAACTAAAGCATTGAAGATTGATATCACAAGACAAAAAGGGGAACCTAAAGTGGACGTTGCTAAAAAAAACTACATAGATATATCCAAGCCTGCCCATCCAACCCACACACGCACACATCATCAACATGCAGCCCAACACCCCAACGCCCCGACACCCCAACCCCCAGCTCAGCTCGCCACGTTAATCTCGTAGCCCACCAGCGTCTCGGTCGAAGTGCCGTCCCAGCCGCGCGTGCCCGCCGTCGACACCATGAAGCGGGCCGTGGGGTCGACGTACAGCTGCGAGATGACGCCGGCGCGGGGCGGGCCGGGCACGATGAGGAAGGGCACCGACGAACCCTTGAAGGCCGACGAGTCACGCAGGTCGTACAGGCGCAGGATGTCGTGCGAGGCCACGACGAGGTGGCGGCCGTTGGGCATGGCGCGCACGCAGCTGACGGGCCCGCTGCCCGCGGGCAGCTTGAGCGCGCGCTCGGGCAGCCAGCCGGCCCGCGCCTTGTGGATGCTGTACTCCTCGACCGTGCCGTTGCGCCGGCCCGCGTACAGGTTGTTGCCGTCGGGGCTCCAGCAGCAGCCCATGCACCAAGGGGGTAAGCCTTGCCGGAGCCCGATGCGCGCCGCCGGGTTCTGCATGCGTCGGTCCCAGATGCGGATGGTGCCGTCCATGGACGACGCCGCGAATATCTGGTCCGACGACTGCGTGGGGTCCACGTGCCGAGTCGTCGCAGACGTCAGCACCATGGCCGACGACCCTGCCTGGGACTGCCGCCGCTGCTGCTTGGGCGACGACGGCTTGGCCGCCTCTGCTGCTGCTGCTGTTGCGTCGTCCTGTCCCGATCCTGCCGCCGGCTGGCTGTCCTTGACGGTGCTAGTGTGCGACGACGCCGACGACTCGCTGTTCCTGTTGACCGCAGCGCTGTTCTTCCCGTCAGCCCCGTCTGCCCCGTCTGCCCCGTCTGCCTTTGCAGGAGGCGCGGGTGCCTTGGCCGAAGCCGGTCCGTCACTGGCACCAGCACCGGGCCCCGCGTCCGTCCCGTCCGTCCCGCCCATGACCACGTCGCCGCCTCCCTGTCCGCCGTTCATGTCCATCTCCCCAAAGTCGTCGTCGTCGTCCCCAAAGACATTTCCGTTGCCGTCGCCGCCCATGTTGTCCTCGCCAAACAGGGACCCGGCCGGGCTGCCGAACAGCGACTCGTGCGCCGGCGACGCGCTCTGCGCAAACCCCGAGCCCACGCCCTCGGCGCCGCCGCTGCCGCCGCCGCCACCACCACCATCACCCCCCGTACCAGCTACGCCGCCACCGTTCGTCGCCGCGCCGCCGCGTACACCGTTACTCGAGCCGACGCCGTTGCGAAAGGGCTGGTCGTTGTTGCCGCTGATGGTGCTGCCACCACCGCCACCAAAGTCCCGCCTGGGCCCGAGCGGGTCTATGCCGTACGATGCGGCCTGGGGGATCAGCGCGCCGCCCGAGGGCCGCAGCTCGACGGCCGAGATCTGGCCGCCGCTACCCTCGAAGCGGCGGCGCACCTCGCCGTTGTTGAGGTCCCAGTCGGCGATGGTCTTATCCCAGCTACCGCTAAGCACCGACTTCTCGTCGGGCAGCATGGTCAGCACGCTGACGGCGCTCGAGTGCTTGGCCAGGCAGGCGATGCGCTTGCCCTCGTCGTGCCGCGCGCTCGACAGGTTGATGCCCCCGCCCTCGGTGCCCGACAGCACCCAGAGTCCCTGCGAGTGCACCGCTAGCGAGTAGACGGGGCTGAGGATGTGGTCGTTGCTCGCCGCACCCCCGCCCGCCGCCGCGCCCCCGCCGCCAGCCGCCGTCCCACTGCCAGAGGCCGCCCCACCCACGCCCGGTGGTTCCTCGTTCTCCCAGTACGACATGAGGATGCCGGCCTTGACGACCGAGTCGACAAAGGGGTGCCGCTGCGCCACGGTGAGCAGCTGCTTGCCGTTGATGGTGCCGATGCCGTCGTACTTGCGAACGTAGCCGTCGGTCCCGCCCGTAATCCAGAGGCGCAGGTCGGGCGTGGCCGCGAAGGCGTTGATGCTCGTCGCCTGCGGCGCCGCCATGGTCGGCACAATGTCGTAGAGCCGCGCAGTGACACGTTCGGGCGCCAGGTACTGCCATCGCGCTTTGGGCCCTGCCGCTGCCCCGAGCTCGCCTGTCTCTGGGAGCTTTTCTGCCGCCGCCGCCGCCCCCGACGCCCCCGACGCCGCCGCCGCCGCCGCGCCCGCCTCGCGCCCGGAGCCCTCCTTGGACATGCGCTTGGGCACGCGGTCGTCCTGCGCCTGCTTGTCGGCGCCGTCGTCGTCCCCGTCGTGGTCGTGGTCGTGGTCGTGGTCGTGGTCGTGATCGTCGTCCTCGTTGTCCTTATCTTGCTCGGGCGCGTCGACATCCTCCATCACCTCGTCCTGCTCATTTTCGGAGCTCGCGTTCGATTCTGCAAAGGCGCACACGCCCAGGGTGGCGGGCCCGAGGCGGTCAGTAAAATGGCCGCGACCCCAGCTAGCCAAGGTAGGATACCTGGGCAAACAGCTATGTAGGGAGGGAGGCCCAGGTAGCTCGAACAGGTAGCTCCAACAGGCGGGCGCCCTGTCGCGTGCGACACTGGACTGGCTGGTTGGCTTACCCCTTTCGTCCTCGTCCATGGTGGCTACAGCCCAGGCGTGCCAGCCACTCGGGCCCGGCAAACACCACACACAACGCCGCTACCCTGCCTCGATCGACCCGTCTTTTCCCGCCCCCAGAACGAGCGCTCCAGCTTGCCGACTTCAGGGAGCTGCTTTGGCGCGCCAGCCAACGGTGCAATCAATTGGCTCCTTTTCTATACTGTTAGGTGCACGAGGACGGCGTCGATCGGAACAAGGTGCCAAACGGAGAAGGCAGCAAAAAGAAACCTCGAGGTCAAAGAAAACTCAGCGTAGCCCAGCTCCTTCGACAAAAAGTCAGTCCACGTCGCACCCGATTAACAAACACCTCAACAAACACCCATTGGACCTGGCTGGACCCGAAGCGTTCGACTTTCAATCGTGCAATTCAATCTTCCCATTCAATGTCAGCCGGTCGCATCACGTCAGGACGCGACCTGGGGCGGGGTCACCCCTAGACACTGTCCCACCCAGCACTGCAGCAGCTCGCCATCACCTGTAGCCGCCCGCTAGAAACCCCAGCCTGCACGCGAGTCATTGGAAACCATGACGCAATGCCATGCATCATGCATGATACCAAACCAACATCGAAGCTGTACATAGCGTACATACATGAACAAGCAAGCCGCCCACTACCTCCCGCCTCTTCCCCTTCTACCGCTTTTTTTGCTACCCAGTAAACCCCCAGAAGGGCACGTTTCCGGCCTGCCAAAAAGAGAAGAAAAAAGGAAAAAATATTAACATGGGAAACGGCATTACCAACGCCAGATAACCCAAAGCTGCAGTGCCGTCACAAACCAACATCGTCTCTAGGCACTGATGTCTCCTACACCAGGCTTATGAGATCCTCATCCTCTTCGGGGAGGGCTTTCGTAGTTGCCGGCAAGGCCCCGGCAGTACCCGGCAGGGCTCCAGTGGCCGCCGGCACAGCTCTCGTAGTCGCCGGCAGGGCTTCAGTGGCCGCCGGCACAGCCCCAGCAGTCGCCGGCACAGCTCTCGTAGTCGCTGGCAGGGCTTCGCTGCCGACAAAGTGACCCGGGCGGAATAAAGCCCTGGTGGCTCCAGCCTGACCGCTTACAGCCTTGTTGGGACGAGAGTCTCTGCCGGTACCCTTGGCCGCTTCACTCAATTCCACTAGACTGGCAGGCCTGTTGGATCCGCTGGCCGCCTGGGCGCTCTCCTCCGTGCTACCATCAAGACCTGGCAGCAGAACCTCTACCTTCTTCGCAGCCTTGGTCCGCTGGCCGTTGACAATACGCGCCTCCTTGAACTTCTCCTTGATGTCAATGCGTTCCCTCGGCGGCAACGCAGCCCTCGCCGCGCTCGCCTGTAGCCGGTCCCTCTCGTCAAACTTGCTCGTGTCTTGAGAGTACGCCGCCCAGCTGGCCACGCTGCTCGGTACCATCGCACACTGGCCACCGCCTCGGGCATTACCTCCCCGCATACCGCCGCGCCCAACACCGGCGGCCCTGCCCGCGCCCCCACCACGGCCACGGCCCAGGAGCGAGCCGGCCACGGGAATCGCGTCGTTGGCGCCAAGGTCTTTGTGGTCCAGAACGTCCTCAAGTGAAGGATGGAGAGCTCGCTCTACCAGCATGGCCTGGTGGCTTGCCGCCGACTGCTCAAATTCACACTGCTTGCAGAAGCACTTCTCGGTGCACCTGTTGGAGCACGGATGGCCGCACGAGGGCAGCTTCTTGGTGCATGGCTCGGAGCAGGCATAGCTGTCGTGGCGTCGCCTATCATCGCACCCATATGTCAGCACACACATCCAGAGACATCCAGAGAGCAAAAAAAAAAAAAAAGCACTCACCAGTGACACGCCAGCCGACACTTGTGGCCGCAAGGCAGATGTCCCGTGCACATCCGCCGGCATCCGCCCGCATTTCCCACAAAATCGTCTAACCCCTTGATCCACGTTTCGGACCCGTGCTGCTGGCAAACAATGGGGAGTCCTCGCGCAGTGTCAAGGTAGCCATTCACGGCAAAGCAGCTGTGCACGTTGCCCCAGACATAGAACGACTCCTCGTTCGCTCGGAGCAGGTTGATGAAGTTGCCAAAGATATAGAAACCACAGCGGGCTCGCGAGATGGCTACCGTGGCCCGGTTTCTGTCCTCGAGGAACCCGACAAGGTACTGCGCGTCAGGTTTGGGGCTACGCACCAGCGACAGGATCACAACGTCGTTCTCCTCGCCCTGGTACGAATCGACCGTGAAGACATTGAAGGATGACATGCCCCTGAGCGCGGGCTCGTTACGCAGCATCCTTAACAGGACCTAAACGACGAAAAGATTAGCTTTTACCGGCTGCACGTGTGGCTTCTGGTTCATGCGTACCTTGCGCTGGCCATTGTAGAATGTCAGGATGGTAATGAGGCCAGGATCGGTGCCGTTGTTGACAAGATAGGCAAAGAACTTGACCGCCATCTCGGCCTCCTGGCGGTTGTACTTGGAGCAGTCGGCGTCCATCTCCTCGGGCCACTGGTGGTGGAAGAGCCACATGTTCCTTCCGCCCATACCTGGCACATCCGGGCGCGACGCAACGAGAGGATGGTCCGACAAGCCTTCATAGAAGTGGTCTAGAAGCTGACGGATCTCGGGCTTCATCCGGCGCTGCTGCGTCAGCCTGCTGAATGGAATGCCCAGCTTCACCATGCGTTCGAACAGAGACACGTTGAGGAAGAAGGGAGCCCCGCTGAGGGCCTGGATGTCGCAGTGCGGAGTCAGCTGCTGGTGATCTCCAACCAAGATGAGTTGTTGGAGAGATTTGTACAGCGCCGAGACGATGTTGGGCTCCCGCGTCTCGGCAGCCTCCTCGATCAACATGATCCGGGGGCGCATCGCAGCCAGAAAACCGCGGTACTTGGTCAAACCCGTTGTCGTGCAGCCCACAATCTCGATCTTGTGGGCCTTGATCAGCTGTAGATCGTTAGTCCACTTGCCAATTTTCATTTCCTGGCAGCTCTTTTTGTACCCGGCGAGACAATCCACGAGTACGGGGCGGATTGCCTTCATGAGGCCGGCCTGGAGATGGCGGTACACTGCGCCACGGAAATGGGACGGGATATCCCACAGGTCGTCCGTCGACGCGAGCCAGTCCTCGGGCGTCTTGTTTTTGCCGGTTCGTCTGGCTTTGGGCGGGAGCTTGCCGGTTTGCTTGTAGTCGAGCACGATCCAGGTCCCGTGGATCCTGCCGTCCTCATCCTCATCAGCGGTGCGGTCCAGACCAACGTCAACCTCGTACTCCCTGTTGACCTCGCCAATGGTCTCTTCCATCTCGAACTCAGGCTCGGCTTGGGCGGCCAGGCCTGTTGTCCTCTGGTCACCGAGCCAGAGCTCTAGACTCGCCTCTTGGTCGGTATCACCGGTATCGGCATCAGGAGCACCCGAGCCAGGCAAGCCCTCCCAGTCCGAGTCTGAAAGGGAATCAAGATGGGCTTGCGTGAGGAGGCCGTATTCTTTTAGAAGCGCTGGCTTTAGGAGACCCTCCGGGAAAGCGCCGACAAGCTTCTCACTGAGCCGGTCGATTTCGCGGCGGCGAACCTGGTCAAGGGCCCTGAACCTCCTCTGGGCCTGGTTGCCAGCCATCATCTTTCTCAGGCAAAAGACGGTTCGCTCCTGCATCTTTTCGTTCTCGGTGCGACCACCCACGCGTAGGATGCTGGCCCCGGCGCCGTCGCAGTGCATCAGAATCTGGTCCAGTGCGTGGTTGGTCTGCGCTGCAACAATGATGGGAGGGTCATGAACGCGATCCCGGTTCTCTCGAAGGACATCCAGAGTGGACACCGAGGTGAACGTCTTGCCTGTTCCCGGAGGCCCTTGTACGATGGCAATCTCCTTGGTGAGCATGTCCTTCAGCGCCATTATCTGCGAATGGTCCATCGACGTGACCGACGTGAGGCCACCAGGGACCTTGCCGAGAATGTCGACCTCCCTGAACGGAGCTTTCGCATTGTGAAGCGCAATGGCATAGTTCTCCTCTGGGTCTCCCTGGGGTGGGGCATGGACTATGGGCGAGAGGTCCATGACAGGAGAGGCGCGGACGGATGCTGGGGTCTCGACCTTGCGCTGGCCACAGACTATGTACTTGTCGAGCGTCGTGGGCTCGTTGGCAACGTGCTGAAGCCCCGTGAGAGCATGGCGGGCAGCCTCGTAGTATCCAGTACGAGACTCGACTATGACCAGCTCCAGACCAGGATCGAAAACAGCCTCGTTGGGGTCGGCCCAGAGAAGATCGACGAGCGGGGGATTCTGATCAAGGCCGTCCTTGTACGGCCTCTGGGCTACAACCGCAATCTTGCAGATGGTCTGGAACTTGTCTTCGGCCGTGCTGATGGCTAGGATGGTGCCGGGGGTGAAGCGGCGAGACTGCAGCCACTTGATCTTGACACCGGCACGCCTGGTGGAGAAGCGGACTCTGAAGAATGCGCCGATGCGGGTCATCAGGTATCCGATGATGTAGACATTGGTGTAGACGCATGTAGTCTTGTCGTCAAACATGAACGGGTCGAGCTTATACGTCGACACGGCATGGCGCAGACTCTCAGTGCCCTCACAGCGGAGAATCTTGTACTTGGTGGCCAGGTACTCGTCCTTCTGCTCCCAGGGCTCATCTACGCGATCGGTTGGTAGAGCCTCGACGTCGTTCCAACTCCGGTTGATCTCGGCGGGAGTCGGAAGCTCGGGCATGCCCTGCCATCCAGGGCCGCTGGGGACAAAGCTGACATGCTGTCGGACAATCTCCTGGGGATCCAACTGCTGATTTGAGGCGGAAGGAAGTATCAGTACGGCAGAGGGGAGAGGGGCCGGGGGAGAGGGCGGTTCGCTCACATCTTTTGGCTGAGCCGCAGCTCCGTGTTTTGCCAACGTCATGCTCATGCCGGAGGCCTGTATGCAATTTGTTGTTAGCCCTGCACACGGGAGAGACTGAGATTTCGGCGGCAGAGAAATGCGAGGTATGCCAGGAGGCTCAGACGTTGGGGAGATAGTGGCGACAAAGGAGCAAACGAAGACGGGAAAAGGACTAACCTGGGCGGCGCAGGCGCGTTGGATACGCACACAGAAAAAGACCTATGCCCAGCCCAAGCGGTTTACCTGGTCTCGGAGTTGGCACTAGAAGCAGTACGCGCCAGGCTTACGTCTAGAGAGCAGGTTGCTTCCAAGACACGTCTGGTGTTGGTAAACGACTGCCAGTGGGCACAAGTGAAGGAGCGGGGAGAGCTCTGGGCGCGTTGAGATGGCTCGAGAAGAAGAAGAGAGGGAAAGAAGGCGGGAAAAGCTTGACGCGACTGCACGAGAGTTGGAGGGGCAGGGTCTGGGGGAGGAAGAACAACCCGCGTGCCTTCCAAATCGGGAAAGAGCAGCCCCCTCCAGAGCGTCAACCAGAGGATGAAAAGACGCAGTGATTCTTGCTGCGTGTATGAGTCTCGTTGTCACCCAGAGCAAGGATAAGGCCAGAGATAAGGCCAGATCGGCCTCGTCAAAAGCCTGTAGGCAGCTGTGCACGGGTTGGAGATGGCCGTTGTCGACAGTCAGCCGCGAGCCAAGTCGGCGGCGAGCTTTCAAGTATGTGCGCCCGCTCTTCAGGCCACGCAAAAGGATCAACAATGACGGCTAGAGTCAGGTAGTGTCTGTATCAGCCAGGTGGACGGCAAACAGGTCAGGGACGGGCAGAAGGAGGGCCATTTGCAGCGGCGGCGGACGTGCGGCTCGCAATATATGATGCACGTCCCTGCAACGGAAGGATGCAGCAAGCCGGCTCGCCCAGTGGGCCCGGGACCGGTTTCCATGTAGCAATCACCACTCCGCCTGCTTGGGACATGTTTGTCCAGCCTGGGATGCTTGATGGGGACTGGCCGCCGGTTCGTGAGGCTGCAGGAGGCCACACAAGCAGTGCGGTGAGGTGTTTGGTGCTGTGTTGTCCATGCCCAAGTCTGCCTGCCTGCACCTGCCAAAACAGTCAGGCGCAAACGAAGGCGGAGCAAACGGGAGAGCGGGAAGCATGTTGCAAACTGTTGGACGGAACCTCTATTGGAGCCCATGGTATCATATTACAAACTCTCGAGCCATTGAAGTCATTCTCCCCAGCAGTGGATGGAGCATACACACATATACTATCAGTGGCTGTGGCTGGTGTAAGTGGGGGCATCACAAAGATATGGAGATGTGGGATCACAAAAGAGTCGGGCTGTGAGGACTAGGCACCTCTGAATTCTTTCTCTCCCTTTTTTTTTTTGATTTTTTTTTTTGACTTGTTGCTCCTGGATAACCTCATTTTGCACGATCATGTGGCGGCGCAGTAGCGAGCTCGCAGCAGGGATTTGTATAGCTAACTTGGATTTTGCTCAAACGACTCCTCTCCGGCATGTATATACATACAGCTACCTACAGGGTTATTCCTTTCCCCTATATCAAACAAACGCCCAGAGGCAGGCACCTAGTGCTACGGAACTACAAAACAAGTATCCCAAACATCATACACATGTCCCTGGCATAGGAGAAACAAGGCGCCGAACAGACGAGATAGAAAGAGCAAAATATGGCAAAAAAAAAAAGTATGGAAAGCCAGAAACAAGTGTCCTGCCCGGCTAGTAAAAATATCAAGCCAAAGTATACATGCTTGCATCGACATTTTATCCTTGTCCTGCAAGCACAGATGCCCTCCCCTGGTATCCTCGAGACGAAAGAAAAAAGAAAGCCTGATCGAAACCGCTAGAACGAGATAAAATAGGAGATCGACTCATGGCGCCGTCTTACCACCGCAGTCCGGAATCTTGATGCCGTCCTTGAGCTGCCGGTCGACATCCATAAGCCCCCAGTGGTCCTCCCAGTTCTCGTCCTTGCTGTTGAACCTGATCTTCCAGGGCTCATCAAAGGCCGAGAACCAAAAGTAGTTTGTCCCGTTGTTGAGCGCAGGGCAGACCCAGTCGTTCAGGATCCGATTCAGCTCGGGCACGCTGGCGATGGCCGGTTTGGGGCACGACTTGCCCAGCTCGGGCGGGCAGCGCTGGCCGCCCTGCGACGGCCAACCGATCTCGGCGATGACGTTCTTTTCCTTTTCTGGCTTGTCGACCTTGATGTTGTTCTTCCAGAACGCCATGGTCCAGTCGGCGGCGCCCTCGGCCGGCTGGCCGCCGAAGAAGGGGTGAATGTTGGCCATGATGTAGTCAGAGGCCTGCACCAGGTTCGTATCGGCCCAGTCTCGACCCAGGTCCGAGGTGGCCACGGGTAGCGTCATGCCCTTCTGCTTCAGCTTGGTGCGCGTGTCGGACAGCAGCTTCTGGAGCTGCGTGGTCGTCATCTCCTCGCGGAACAGGATCTCGTTGGCGACGATGAGGCCCTTGAAGGGCTTCTCCCCGTACTTGTCCAGGATGTCCCACATCTGCGTGAGCTGACGTTCATTGGTGGTGGTGTTCTTATCCTGCCACACTCCCAGCCAGACCTTGACGCTATTAAGCTTGAGTCGCTCGATGGCAGTCAGCACCATCTCGGTCTGGTTGCAGTCGGTGCCGTACAGGCGGATGGTGTTGGTCAGCTGCGAGAGGACTGCAACGTCACGCGTGATGTTGTTCTGTGATGGCGGGTCCTTGAGACATTCGGGGTACTGGGTGTTGATGGGCGTGTAGTCCATGCCCATGAAGACCTTGTGCAGATTCTTGTTGTTCATCATGGCCTTGATCTCGGCGCTGTTTGCGTTGAGATCGCCGTTCTGTTTTTGGTCGTCGGCCGCCGACAGGCCTGGGCTTGGGTTGCTGTTGCCCCCGCCCCTGTACACGACACCGAAGAGGATTCCACACACGATAGCCGCGACAACGACGATGGCGACGATGATGATGACGACGATCTTCCACTTCTTGGACTTGTTCTCGGGCTTCATGCCCCACGACTTCTCTCCCCCTAGGTTGTGCACCTCCTCGTGGGAAGCGTTGTTGCCGAGGCCAGACACAGGCCCATAGCCCCCAGGCTTGCCGTTGGCTGCCGCCAGGCCCGCACCGGCGCCAGCTGCGGCGCCAGCTAGATTGTTCCTGCTCCTGTTGCTCGAGTTCCCCAGGCTGAGCATCGAGTTCCGCTGGCTCTTGCGTCCGTACTGGAGACCGTCGTCACCATCATCGTAGATGTCGTGGGGGTTGACGACGCCCAGTGCGGCTTGGTTGGGTCGCGAGTAGCCCGAGTACGGGTCATCAGTGTAGACGACATCAGCGGGATGGCGCGCTTTCGATGGCGTTGTTGCTCCAGGGGTCGACAAGCCGGGTGGGATGGCAGCGGCGCCAAGGCCAGACATGCTGGAGTGGGAGTCCCTGTCGGCAGTGTCGTTGTATGGGGCGGGATGGTGATGGCCGTCGTGGTAGTCTTGGTCGGGATAGGGCTGCTGGTGCGGGTTGGCGGTCCTCATGGCCTTGAGCCCGCTTTCTCTAGCATTGCGCTCGGCAACAGAGTAGGCGATGTTTGCCATTCCGCCAAAAGGAGCCGCCTCGCTGAAATTATCAGATCCGGGCGTCACGTTGCTCTCAGGACGGCTCTGCGGCGCGGCGCCCTGTCGCTGGCGGCCTGACTCTTGTCCCCAATGTCGACCGTCGTCACCGAGACCGGCGGACTGCGGCGGCGAGATGGGCGAGACGTAGTCGGGGTTCGGCGGCGACGATTGATGGGCTGCAGGGCCCCAGTTCTGCTGGTCGCGCGACCGGCGCCTTTCGGATCGAAGATGCTGGGCGTCGGGTGGTGATCGTGGCTGACGGTGGGCGCCGACGGCGGCTCGAGGGGGCGTCGAGTTGTACTGGTTTGCGGCGTAGGGATCCTGAGCGTAGGGATCTTGGGCGTAGTGGTCGCCGCGCTGCTGCTGCTGTTGCGGGTACTGCTGATGGCGATCTGGTCGGGACTCGTAGTGCTGCTCCTGTTGCTGGCGATGGCGAGAATTCTGGCGCTGTTGCGGGTAGTGCTGCGCCTGGGGGTGGCCGCGACCTGGCGAGGAGTCGAAGTAGGCGTTAGGGTCGTCGAGAGGCTCCCGCTCTGCAGGGTCGTCGTGTCTGTAGCGCTGCATGGTGGACTAGAAGGAGAAGAAAGGAGCTGCACAGTGGAAGGAAAACAGGCCAGTGGGCTCGGCAAGAACAGATGGAGACGCAATGTCTGGCGTGTGCGCGTGGCAGTGCGTCCGTCCCGCTTCTTCCAAGGCCTGGCGACTTGCGGGCGACCAGGCTGAGCCAACGTAATGGACAGGAAAGGTGGGACTGGGCGCTCGCAGTGAAGGCTGCTCGTAAGCCCGTAACGCGATCGATCGCTCTCCTGACGCTGGGCCAACCAGGCCCGGTGTGGGGAGACGAGCACAATGGAGGACAGAGGCGTAGGATTGCGCTCGGCCGTGCGTTCGTGTCGCCTTTTCTTTTCCCGTCTGGGTCGTTGCTGTTGACCAGGCTCTCACTCCCTCTGGTGGTTGTTGCGACTCTTGCCGTTACTCTCCAAAAAAAAAAAAAAAAAAGAACAGCTCTTAGGCCAGGGCAGCCCTCAGGGTAACGAGCGTCAGGTGGCTGTTAAACCAAAGGAAATGAGTGCTTTGTTGGGTTTGTTGGAGAGAGTCGCAGTCGAGGGCGCAAAGGCCGAAAGAGCTGATGAGAGAAAGGGGGCTTCGGCTGGTGGAGCGAAAGGGGCGCTGCTTCAAAATGGCCGAGTCCTGGAACCCCTGACTACGATGAGAGAGGTTCGTGTTTGGGAGCTGAAAAGACAGACACAAAAAAAAGGCGCTCCGCCACCACAGTTGAAGACATTCAGCTGACAGACAAATTTGGAGCTGGCACTAGCATGTATGGAAAGCAGCAAAACGGTGCGCGCCCGAGACAGCACTGGCTGTTGGTGTTTGGCTCTGGAGGCTCTCGAGATGTTCACTCGTTTCCCTGTTTCCCTTCCCGCTGCCAGAGCGACGACTGCTCGCGACAACGAAATCCAATCGGAGAAGGCAAGGTGGTGATGTCCAGATGGGGCCTGCAGTGCAGGGGTACGTTCAAGGCCAAGCGCCCCCAGTAGCGTTGGCTGATCAACCTTTTGAGCGGGGATGCACGTTTCGAGTTTGCCGTTCGTGCCGTTCGTTGCCGCAAAGTCATAGTTGCGGAACGAATTGGGTTTCTGGAGAAATCAATCAACATGATGGAATCCATGATTCCATCGGCATCAGCATTCCAAAAAGCCAAAAGATGCAAAGACGGGAGCACAGCAGATTGATTGACTGATCTGCCTCTTCGCACACGGCTCGCAGCAGCTCCTCGCCACCCCCTGTCGCCCCCCGCCGTCTGGGCCCCCTTGGCTGTGCGATGCGCACGCTCCACCGTTTTTTCTAGGATATTGACTCCCCCTTAGCCAGGCCCTGCCAACTTTTCCATGTCAGCTCAATTTGTTGCACCTAGCGAGGCCATATTTGAAATTGCAAGGGCCGCGTCAAAGATTCCATCACGTCGCGCCGCAGTGCCGCAGCGAGAGGATGGAGGCCGAAATAGATTGTCCGGTTGGTTACGGTCTCGTAAAAATAACAGCGCTCCTTCTTTCTTGTTGACTCGTGACAATCCTCCTTTCTACCCGTCCTAGCCTGCACCTTGCTCGCCGCGCAATGCAAAACTCAGCCCAAGCCGCCCTCTTGCCCAACGTGACCCAGTGCCGTCCAAACTCCCCGCTCAGCCCCAAGCCTCGTCCGGATAGTGCAGGCGTCTATCCCGAACCTGAAGGGTCCGTTCAAGGGTGGTGCTGGTCACGGCCGAACAGGCATGCAGGTCAGCCAGCGGGCACCGACGGATTAGATATTTAGCCTTTGGGGAGGGGCCGCCGTTCCCACATGTCGGCCGCGTCGTTGCGGCTCCTCGTCCTGACTCTTGTCCTGCGCGAGCCGTTGATACCCCACACTCTTCCTGACATCGTCAGGTCCTTGACCGCCGGCCGTCTTGTCCGCTATATTAGTCCGAGAGAGGTCGGAATGTCCCGCCCGTGCCCGAGCCTGGCCAACGGGTGGTTGCCGGCACGCAGCTCTCGCTCTACTCCTGCTCTCGGCGAGTCGCGATAGTGGCAGACATCAAGCGGAAATATGATGGGCGACTGTCCGTCTGCCGACCAACCAAAATGCCACAAAGGTAGGTAGGTGTGCATTCGTATATTCAACTACATTAAGTATCCAATATCTGCATATCCAGAACGTTGGATCAAGAGCCGCTCTCTGCGAGCCAGAGGAGGAAGACCACACAAACGCCGGCGCGCCATACATGTCTGTTTCATTACATCGTATCGGTAAATCTCCCCATCTGCCCCTCGACGCCGGCAGCAACAGCATTAACCAGAAAAAAGAAAATATACACAAAAAGACATTATCTAGAGGAATCTCCTCAGAACCATGTTGAACCTCGTGTTCTCCCGGCGCATTATATCGGGCGTCAGCCTGTGCGTGTAGCGGCGGGCTGGGTGGCTCCAGGCGTGCAGGACCAGCTGGTCGCCAAACAGGGCGCCGTCGTTCTTGCGCATCGTCTCGTCCACCTCGGCCGCCTCCTTGTCGCTAAGCGGCTCGTGCATCCAGTCGACCGAGCCCTCGGTCCACATGGGCCAGTAGAAGGCGCTCGGCGACAGCGTGCACAGCTCGTCCGGGTACTGGTCCTCGAGCCGCCGCGGCAGCTTGACCGAGTGCTCGTTCCACAGCGTCTTGTCGAACGACGTGTACATGCCGAGCCAGCGCTTGATGAAGGGCGCGCCCGCCTTGGACATGATCACGGCGTTGGTCAGCCCCATGCGCACGCCGCCCTCGTGGCCCATAACCACGTCGCGCGCGCCCTTGAGCAGCGTGTCGAACGGCCGCAGCACGAAGGCGTCGGCGTCCAGGTATATCCCGCCCTCCTCCAGCAGCACCGTCAGCCGCAGCACGTCTGCCATGTGCGCCATGTCCCACGACTCCGGGTCGAGGTCGAGAAAGGGCCCCAGATAGGACTTGGGGTCGTGGTGGACGAGCGTGATGTTGGGCTCGAGCAGCTTGAACCACTCGTTGTCGCGGTCGATGTTGGTGTAGTGCACGCGCACCTCTTTGGGCTCCAGCGTCGCCAGGGCGGCGCGGATTGCGATGTAGAGCAGCAGGTTGAAGGAGCCCTCACCCTTGGGGCCCCACACAAAGTGCACCACCTTCGGTATGTCTGCCGTAACGCCCGGCGCGTTTACGCGCTCGACGGTGCCATCGAAGCACTTGGCCTCGCCCGGCGTCGGCTTGAAGTTGTACCGTGTGAAGCCCATGATCCACAGTCCCGGCTCGTGAACGACGGGCCAGACCTTCCCGTGCCACACGCTCCGCAGCCAGTCGCTGCTAAGGTAGAGCGTGATGAATACAAACGAGCCCAGCGCCCACAGCACCAGAAAGCGCCGCCGCGGCACCACTATCATCATGTCTGTCGACGGGCGGACGCCTTGTCGACGGCGCCGTTAGGTACCGAGGCTACTCAACCGATGACTGATCGGCTGTCTTGGTGGCTGACTGATCGGCTGTCTTGGTGGCTTCGAAGGCAGGGAGGGGCGCGCTATGGATGGGGGGTGTGCGTTGTTACGGGTGTTGGCCGAGATATGATGGAATGTAAGATGAAAAAGAAGAGAGAAGAGGGGGGGAGAAAAAAAAAAGCCACCCGTCAGCCGCGAGGGACAAGGTGGGTGGCGGCGCCTGGATGTCAAGCAACACAAAGTCTGGGCGGGCACGCAGAAGAACCCTTTCGACATTTGCTAACCCCCCCAGCTGTCCATGCGGCTGGGGCACACGCCTTGGTTAGATGGTGGCCCATCCCTCTACGATAGCAGGACTGACGGCTGACAGGGCGGGCTGCCTAAACCGCTTTCAGGTGGAGAAATGGAGAAGACGCAAGATAATTTGGTCATGGCCACATCTGGTTAGGAGGAGCACGCCAAGGCCACCAATGGGCTCGTTTTGCAGAGGGGATCTCTGGAGCACTCCGAAATTCCTTCCATGCACATTTTGGTTCTGTCTGGTGCCGACTGCCGCCCTGTCCCGTCCTTGTCTGACAGAAAAGACAGACATACTCTGTGCACATTGTGGACAGGAGACGGACACAGCGTGCAGGTCAAGTTAAAGTGTGCTAGCCGATTAGGCCCGACCTAGAGCCTAAGAGCAAAAAAATAAATAAAGACGAGAGAGAGAAAAGAGAAAACAAAAAAAAAGGCAGGGACCCGCAGGGTTGCCCCCGGCCAGGCAGCCAGACTGGCAGCCATCAACGCGACATTGGCCCCCTCCACAATCTGCTTCGATCCGAGGCGCGCTCCAGGGCCGGGTTACCGAGAGCCATTCCGTCTTGTTTGCCTTGATGCTTATTAACTGGCAGTCCCTCCCACCTGTAAGAAGGGCGGCAACACGGGCAGATAAGACAGAGTAAATTGCCATCCGCGGCCGTCATTTCAAAATCCTCACTCCCTAGACACACGTCCAGCGGCTTTACCCACGGAACTCACATTTGTGCCCCACCATCTCGCATTTCTGGTGGATCATAAAACTTAACCCTTTTTTTCTTCCTCCATCGACCGCTTCAAGGTTAAACTGAACGACAAATCGGCACCACGCACAAGCACATTAGTCACAAGGAGGGATCAGCCTTTTCTGAAGATGGGCAAAAATGCATTCGCATCTACTACCTGGATCTTATCTCTCCGACGCAGAAAACCGTGAGCGTCGCCTATAAGAGACCCGCCTCGGGTGAAAAACTGCATCCAAACCCTTTCCTTGGCCAACCGCAGGACATCCTCAAACATGGCCAGAATATCCCTACCCTCCTCCCTTTTCCTCCCTTTGCAACAGCCCAAGTCCTGGCTACTCTCCCCACTCCTCTTTCCCCCCCTCCTCCTCCTCCTCCCTTTCCAGTCCGAGCCCATCTGCTTAGTTCCCCGGCCTCGGCAAGTACCCTCCTTGGACCCGGGCCCAGATCTCGGCCTGGCGTGAGGCCGGCATTTTGTCTCTGGCTTCCTCCAGTGTGCACGGGTTCAGGTCGGGCCGGGCAGGGTTGACGGGCAGTCGCTCGAGCTTGAACTGCCGGTACACGCCACCCTTCCCATTTTTGGCGGTGCGGCAGTTCACCACGCGATAAAGACCGTCGTACCGGAGGCCGAACTGGGGTGCCCAGTGGTTGCCGTTCTTTCTGCGCAGGACGCGCACAGGTCGGTCGCTTCGTTCCAGCGAGTGTAGAAGGACTTTGGTTGCATCCGAGTCGTGGTGCTCTACGGGATCCTCATTTTCGTGGCTGTGGGATCCCGAATACCAGATGGTGTTCCCTTCGTCCCGATCAAGATCGTCGTACTGCGACGAGCCAACCACGATCGAATACGCTCCTTCGCCTTTCCGACCCGCGATGCCGCCCATGGAGCTGCCATGGGCACCTCGATAAAGAGCCACCTTTTGCAGCGGCCACCAGTCGCCAGGCACCAGGCCGTTGTGACCAAAGACATGACACGACCGTTTCTCGTGAACAAACCGAGGGTCCGGCGTGTATTGAACCCTGGGAGCCGCCGTGCGAAGGATTCCATGCATAACCCCATGCAAGCCCCAGACAGGATCCTCGTCGCAAGGGAATCCCACCGTGACCCTGGCGAGATCGACGTCACCGCCCCGGCGACGACCCACGAGATTGCTGTCCTGCGCACCCGAGTCTTCGCCCTGACTCTCATTGCCACTGTCCTTGATGTGATCCTCATCCTCCCCGTAGTTCATGTCCTTCCATCGCTGTTCAAGCGTGTTGTAATGTTCGATGATGAAAGCCGGGAATTTGTTGTCTGGGTTGTTTATCACCCCATGAAGACTTTTTAGCTCCGCATCATGAATTCGCGGGTTTATATCAACCGTTTCGAGGTATTTGATGAAGGATTTTAGCCGAATCAGATACTCTCGTAGGTCTGGGTGATCCGGATCAATGGTGCCCCATTTCTTGGTAGCTCTTCTGGCCACAAGGACCCATTGCGCGACGCAAGGCCTGCGGTGTTGTTTAATAAACTCGATATGGGCTTGTTCGCTGTTTTCGTGGGGAGCATAGGCGACAATATCGTTGAAGTGCTCCCACCTAGCGGGCTGCGGCGATGGCTCATGGTTGGCCATGGCAGCAGGAGAGTCGTCCATAGGCGTAGCCGTGACTGTGACCGCACCCGTCGCCGCCGCCATCAGGACAGCAACGGGGGAGGCAGCGGAAGGAAGCTGAGGGCCCATTGTATGGATTACAGATGTGCCACCACCTAGATCCCACACGAAAAATGTAAGCTTATGTCCGACAGAACGTTCACAAAGGGTTTAATAGACAAACCATCAAATGACCCCGAGACCTTCCTTGGCGGGCGGATTGCGGACGGAAGCTGAGTGGCCACAGGGCGGCGCCCAAGCCGCGAGTGGCTGCGCGTATGGCCGCGCACTGAAGCTTCGGCGGCAGCCTTCCCAGCCCTGCTGGCCATGGCCGCGGGGCGGTCGCATGCATGCGACGTAAAGCCTTGGGCCGGCTTTCTGGTGTTGGATATGCCCATTATGCTCTTTTCCCGTCCTCTCTTGGTCCGAGGATTGATAAGGATGTGGGCTGGCACTGCTTGTGGGTGATGATGGGATGGGACTGGCAGCCCGGTCAGTGGTCTGGGGACGCGCTTTCCATGAGCTTAAAGCATGCGTTTGGGGGCCTGATAACTATGAGGGAAATAGAGAGATTGTGCTGTGGTTTACCCTAGGCAGCTCTCGCTGTCTCGAGGGAAGGGCGATGGAAGACACAAGAACGGGCGAGCATCGAGGCCCGCCCGGATTGAGGTGAGGTGAGGTCACGGCAGCTTTGGCGGGCTCCATGGGGAAGAAGGGCCTCGAAGGGAATGCAAAAGATTGAGGTCCGGAAGGCGTGGTGCGCTTGCAGCATTCATTCTCTGGTCGTGCCTGCAGTTGCAGGTGCTTGCTTCTTGGGTCGCAGTTTCCCTCCTTTGAATACCAGGCAACTGCGACCGCAGGCCGCCTACTTCCCCTTCCTGCCGTCGACATGGGAAAATGCTGGCCCCACGCAACAGCATCGCTGTGTCCACAAGGGGTTCTTCGGTATTGAATTGAAGCTGTACACGCAAAAACATACTTACCAATAAACACCGAGACGGTTGTGTTCCTAGGAATATAACGGTTGCAACAGCACTTGTTAGCGCGTGTTAGATATGCTAAAATGCGGGGAGAGTTTTTTTTTTTTTGTATTGTGGTTGAGTATGCTGAATACGACAGGCGTAACGAGCGTGTTCAACTATAAAACTGGTGTAACTATCAATGTAAAATAACTATTTAACGTATTTTAACGGTAGGGTATAGCTGCAAAGTATCTTGATACACTTTGCAGTTAAATTTGCTGATAACTTTATTTTTATTTATTTCATTTTATTTAACGAAGAAGATGCGGGGCACGACAAGTGTTAGAAGTAGAACAAAGAATCAGGAAATAAAACATCGTTGAGGGGGATGGGAGGAGCGGGTTATATACCCCTATGAGTGGGGCCTTCCCCGCCCCTGGTCACCCCACTACCCGCGCCAATAGTATCCCGCAGGTGGCGACGCATTGTCGCACACATCCTATTAGGCAATAGCATCTGTTGTCCAAGGAAGGTCATGCTAGAGCTAGGCCAGCACCAACCACCCCTGGGCCATCTCGTTCCCTCCAACACTTCTTCGTCACCTGCTGATGACAGCCCATTGGCCTAACCTATCACACAAGCCATCTTCCCATCAGCCAGATATCTTGGGCAGAGGGATGGGGAAGTTCTCGTGGGACCTGGCTACTTTCGTGACCAGAACAAAGCTGCAACTATTGTGCATGCCCTCCTTTCTATTCGCCTGACTGTGCCAAAGTGCTCTCGGGACGACAACAGTAGGCTGGCTAGGCCAGTAACATGATGCCGGTACAGCCACCGTCCATTATCCATGGCATCCAGACCCTATCCTCGGCCCTATCCCTGGGCCTTCCCTTTGCCCTTCGCCTGCTTCCCACCACCCTCGAACAGGTCCGAGGACATCCAGACGCAAGCGCAGGCAAAAGCTCCCATCAGGACCGTCATGGCCAAGCCCGCGCCGACCGTGTCCCACATCGTGACGGGCGCGAACGTGGTTGCGTGCTGCTGGCGACCCCCGCCGGACCCGCCCGCGGCCGGGTCGCCAACGCTGGTGCCGCCCGTGGCGTTGGTGACGGGCGGGCGCACGACGACGTCGTAGTCGTCATGGTCCACGAGCACCGACACGAGGGCGCCCATCACGTTCATCTCCTGGCCCAGCCCCGTGGTGCCGTCAAAGGTGCCGTTCCACCGGAAGCCGCACTCGCGGCCGGACGCGCCGCCCGTGCACTGGCGGACCGCCGCGGCGGCCGACGTCTTGAGCGCCTTGGTGATGCGGCGCCGCGTGAAGGGCGCCACCTGGGCGACGACGGCCAGCCAGCGGTGCAGGAAGCCCTTGAAGCTGAGGTTGTCGGTTGTGCAGGCGTTGCCCTCGGTCTCGCAGAACCTCTCGGTCGCGGTGCCGTTGGGGAAGAATACGTGGATGGTCTGGTCGAGGAGCTTGTTGATCCGGTCTCTCCACACCTGGCTCCCGTTTGTCTGCGTGGGTGTACCAGGATGTCAGTCACTAGTTTGTTGTGCGGCCAAAAGGACAAGATGAAGGAAAACGGACGTACAAAGTCGTAGAGGAAGGCGGCTCCTTGGAGCTGTGAGAAACTCGTGTCAGCTCCCCGCATTCAGACTCGTCTTACGTTTTAGTGTCTAAGGGGAGATTCCTCACAAGAACGGCAGCATTGTACGAGTACTGTGCTTTGTTGACTTCGTCGCAGTCAGGCGCATGAACGCCTGGTGAATAGGCCAGAGACTGTTAGCCTTCTCGTAGGTAGATAGCCTTTTCCGGCTTAGTTGGTCATCAGACACTCGCGGTTCGAGCATTCCCACCGTCGTAGACGTTGTAGTCCTTGTCCATCAATCCGATGGTCTCCATCCAGTCCCAGATGGCAGCTGCGTGGTCCGCATACGTCTGGTTGTGGGTGTAGCGGGCGAGGCGGGCTCCGATATTGAAGAAGCAGCCGTTGGCGATGGTGTTCTTGTAGTGGAAGCCGTTGTTGAACTGGAAGACCTGCCAGCGCAAGCCTCCTCCACATGTGTCGTCGAGCCGTTGCGCCTGCGTGTTGAAGACGCCTTGGGCCAGGGACAGCCACGATGGCTTCCCGTGCTCGGGATCCGGGAAGTTGACCTCGGCGGCTAGCAGTGCCGACATTCCCCAGAAGGCCTGATCGTCGTTGCCCAGGCTTGCCGTCTATTCAGGCCGGTCTTGTCAGAGGCCGAGGCTTGGAGAAATGAGGGATAGCGGTGACTTACCCAGTTTGGCTCCATAAAGTCTCGGTGGGGGCCAGACTGGAAGAGCAGAGCGTCCTTCACCATCTGGTTGTATGTCGAATCGCCCGTGTAATGCCAATAGTCGACCATTGCACCCATCAGAGCACCACCGTTCCACCAGTAGTAGGGACCCTCGGGAGGGGGACCCGGCAGAACGCCAGGGATGTGGCCTGGCTCGTTGCCATGATAGTAGGCCATAACGTCGGATGCCTTAACCTTGGCGGCTTTGAGGATCGAGTCTATGGGCGGGCAGATGTCAGTTGGCTTGGTCTAGGGTCAGAAGCAGGAGGCCGATTATCGAGCTTGATTCGTCACCTCGGGAGCTGATGTTGACCTGCAGCGACGATGCTGCCGCGGCAAGGCCAAACAGAAACGAAACAGCGACCTTCATGTTGGTGTGATATGGTGAACTAGTCTACGGATGTGGATAGAAAGGAGGAGGGAAACGTAGCGAGCGCATGGAATGCAGGTGCTGGAAGAGTTACGAGCATGGGGGGAAACTGGTAACCATGAAGCGAGAGGAAGATTTCGATGGCCGAGGCACCAGAGAGCCAAAACTGAGAGGAGGCTGAGAAGCATCACGACCCCATCTCAAAACGGAAGGAGCACTCGACGGCGCAACACCCAGTTGGACTGTATGGTTCTCCGATTTCCATATTCATTCACTTTCAAACTGCTTCCCTCTTCCAAAAACCACCTTGCCACAAGTCACCTAGTAAAGGCCGTGAGTTTCAACGCGGTATTTCATCAAACAGGGGAGCGTTGACGCCGACATTGTCGTCGATACCAGACAGACTACAAGCAAAAGCAAGACCACGTGACCGCCACACAAACAACGCGCAACAAACATCTCAGGAGACGGATCACCTCGCACCAGCTTGCCAGCCGGCCAACCTGGAGCTCACCGGGGAAGCCCAGGCCCGGCATTCAGACCGGGCGCTCCGGCTTGGTCATCCCACAAACAAACGGGAGGTCTTCGATAATCTCTGTGCAAACGACGATGAACCAGGCAAGCCACGGGGGACATGAATCTGCCCAATAGGACGCATAGCCCATCATCTACAGCCCTCTTCTCGTTTGAGCCAATTGCGTAGAGTCGGCAAGAATATACGGGGAAAAGGGGTGTCTGACAACGGACGCCAGCCCGACGCTAACACGACCTGCATGCACAACGCACAAGACGCCGAGTGACGTCGGATCGGTCGACCACGTACGGACCCGAGGTTGCCTGCATGTCGGCCCCTCCTCACGGCAGTGACCAGCCCACAGGATGCGGATAAAAGGCTGCTTTGCCGGGGGGCCACTGGCGTTTCTTGGTTCGCGTCGTAACTAGGAGGAGATGAGGGCGGCGCAGGGATACGGCACAAGGAGACGGGAGAGTGAGAAGGAGGAGGAAGGGGATGATAATCTCGCGCACCTCGCTCTCGCTGGTGCCTACTCGTGCCTACCCGTGCCTACCAAGGCAGGGAGGCGCCTTACTTTCAGATACGTAGGCGTGCTACGCCCTGAATCACTTGATGACTGCGTCTGCCCCTTAGCGGGGGTTGACTGACAACGCGTGGGGTCGGGGCTTTATCGGGCAGCCTGCGCCGCGGTGGAGCGGGCGATGGGATGATGGGCTGACTGCGCCTGCTGGCCCCGGCCTGCCTCTGCCCTGTGTGATGAGCCCTCGACGCGCGAGTCTGTCCTCCGGCCGATGCAATGGCGTGGTGCAGCGCTTGCAGGCGGGCAGATATAGGTTATCGAGTGGACGGGCGCATGCTTTCGTCGAGTGTGACGCTGCCTGCAGCCGAGCAGGCGCTGGCAGGACGCATGCCGTCATTTCCAGGGGCAGCAGAAGAGCGCCTTGGGGGAAACGTGGGGGGGGGGGGGGGGGGGGGGGGGGGGGG